CCTCTCAAAGATATCACTGTCAATTTTAGTCTCAAACTTCTCATTACCAAGAAGATACAGTAAGAAATCCCTCACGTTGCCCAGGTCATGGCTTGGAGCAAGGTACTCCCTGACAATGGCTTTGACAGTGACCCGAATTCAACCCTGTATCAATATCTTTCTATTTGTCTGGGTTCTCCCATTCTTCAAGTGATCTCGAGGTGTGACCCTCTGACACCAAACCCCCCTCAGGACTTCTTAAGATATTTCTTGGCTCAGTGGGAGCAGGATGTGGGTGGAGGAGAGGGATGGCTGGCATGGTTGGGTAGCGGAGCGAGACACCCTTGGGCCACACAAACTCTTGTTTGATGGCTGCGCTGCACCCATGAATAGTTTCATCCGGACCCATGCTCATCGATTCCTGCAACTTTTTCCTGAATACATGTATATCTTGTTGAATGCGAAGGTTGGTGACTATAGTACATTTGTATCCAGAATACAAATCGAGTCATTGTGAACAAGACAGAAAGATAGCAAGAAATCATGTACCCAGTGAAAATTATTTCTTCCTAGTTGGCAAGAAGACTTTTGAAGTTTGCTTTTTCTGTTCAACTTTTAACATTTGTCAATACCTCAACTTTCAAACTTTGAATCTTTGCTTCTCTACAAACTTTGAATATTTGCTTCTCCACAAACTTTGAATCTTTGCTTCTCTACTACTCTGTCGTATCAGATTTACCCTCTCCAGAAGACATCATCTATAAAATCCTGATTGACTATTTTTTGTGGGGGAGGTGTCCCTTACATAAGGCATGCTTTAGTGAGTATCTGATATGCCATCAAAGTTTGGTGTCTTCCCCACAACATGAGAAATATTACTCCGGGTTTAAGGAGTCTTGAAGGCTCTGCCAAAGACATCAAACATGACTCAAGGACTTAACCAGTGGAAAAGGTTGTAGGAGAGGGGATAGACATTTGTGAAGGGCTGTACTCCATCAAGTCATGTTGCTAAGATTCGCTAAGAGTCCCAAAACTGCCTCAAGCTTATTTCCCAAGTTACTTCATAAAGTCGACTGTCACCTTCCACAAAACACTGGTCCATTTAAATTGGGAAAGACACCAGGAATTTGGATCTTTTTCAAATCTTTCAACTAAAATATCTCTAAAACTATACACTGTGGCAGATAAAGACTTGATAGAATAGAATTTATAGAAGTAAGTCAACCAAATTGCACAATATCTTTTGAAACGTACAAGGTGACTTTCGAAATATTACGTGACCAATTTTCCATATTCTATCGTCAATTTCCACGAGATAAGAGATTTGGGAGCACCAATATTGAAAAATATTAATACCAGTACTGAACACATCTGAAATTTGTCTGCCTAGGAGGAAAAATAACAAGTCTCTAGAGTTCTTTCTACAATCCCTCAAATTTATCTTTACACAAGAGGTTGTCATAATGTCGATAAAACTTCTGAGAGTTGCCCGATAAATGACTCCTCTCTCCTTGTCTTGTTATTGAGGACAAAACAGTAAATCCCCGTGTGCCATTTATATAATATACTTCTTTCCATTCTCTGGTATCTTCAAAGGTGGCATGGCATATGCTAAGTCGTAGACAATTGTAACAGTTTCCAAACCATTATTGGCCTTTCGAATTTAGAGCTTCCATCTCAGTTTCTATAGCCCTTGGGTCACACAGTTGTGAAAAGGCTACAGCAGGGGACTAGTCTAGTGATAGTGGTGTGGGTTGGTTTTTTTACCTGGTTGGCCAAAATCCTTTGCTGTTTGTGATAGCTTCAAAATCTTTATTTTCAAAGTGATGAGTGTACTTTAACAGACCAATTTGGTTCCTTACTGATATAGCTAGCTATTCCACTCTACATCCAAGTCCATCATGTTGGCCATGCATCCCTTCAATATTTGTGTGAGCATTTAGATCTTTAAAAGGCGTCCAGTGCAGTTTTAAGGCTTGGAAACCCAATATTTCAAAGCCAATATTCTAGCCACTTATCTACATACTGAGTTGAAACCACGCTATCCCAATGTACTGTATACTGACCCTCATAGATCCCAAAAAATCCAAAAATTCTGACAGAAAATGGTTACTAAAAGGACCCTAGGCTGAGTTTTATGGTAGCACCCAGAAAATGAAGGACCCATCCTGGGGCTTGTTTCTGCAGTCTTAAATGCCCAAAGTATGAAATGCTGATATGAATGTGCTAAGATGAAGCATTATGTGTCAATATCATAAAGATTGCCTTATTCAGAATATTTCCAGTTTTGCTGCCCTGAAAACGCATTGGATGTCTTTAATGTCTTCCATAAGTACTGTTGGAGTGATGTGTGTTAGAGCAGGTTGGTTCCTTACCGATGTAGTTATTCCACTCTAAGTCCAAGTCTGCCAGGTTGGCCAGACATCCCTTCAATATGTGTCTGAGCATCTAAACTTTTAATATCTTCTACAAGTTGTAGTGGTGACTGTGAGTGTTAGAGTGTACTTTGACAGACTGTTTTGGTTCCTTACCAATGTAGTTATTCCACTCCAGGTCCAGGTCTGCCTGGTTGGCCAGACATCCCTTCATGACGTTGAGACAGAAGTTGTTGCAGGCCATGACCTCCGGCATGTTCTGGCAGTAGGGGCAGTACATCATCTTCATCAGCGCCCGCCCGCACTCCGTCGTGGGCAGCACCTGCGCAAACAGCGCCCGCAAAAAACGTGTCAACGAAAAACTAATCAATACGCCATTCTGTATTAACTACGGGATTATGCGAGGCTAGCAACACAAATGTCTCTCAGGTATGGGTTCTTCACTCCCATCTTTACCACAGGTGTTGTTCCTAATCTTCTGGTACATTTCAAGTGCTTTACCACTGCAAGAATGGTGAGAACACCTGAATATGAAGAACAATAATCCATTAATAATCTGTAGCAATAATATACAATTTACACTGTCCTGGTTCTAGAGACAAAGAAATGGGGCAAAGGTAGCAACACAAATGTCTCTCAGGTATGGATTCTTCACTCCCATCTTTACCACAGGTGTTGTACCTAATCTTCTTGTACATTTTAAGTGCTTTACAACTGCAAAAATGGTGAGAACACCCGAATACGAAGAACAATCCATTAATAATCTGTAGAAATAATATACAATTTGGTTTTATCATTAACACTGTCCTAGTTCTAGAGACAAAGAAATGGGGCAAAGGTAGCAACACAAATGTCTCTCTGGTATGGGTAACTATGAAAATACAGTATTCTTCCCTCTCATCTTTACCACAGGTGTTGTACCTAATCTTCTATATTTGAAGTGCTTTACAACTGCAAGAATGGTAAAGAGTACCCAAATATGAAGAACAATTCATTAACAGTAATAAATAATCTGCAGCGATAATAGACAACATGGTTTCATCCACAATGTCCTACTTTTCGAGACAAAGAAATGGGGCTTATTATTGTAATAGATACCACAGTGACGTCTGTGGCGTAGCTGTGGTAGGGGCTATAGCATGCCAGCGGAAAAATGCAGGGGAATAACTGACCTGCATTCCTAGTGCTGGTGACAATACAGCACACTAATGCTGAGCAAATAAAGCTTTCCAAAGTACAGGGTTCCTATTTTCAAACATACCACCGGGAGACTGGACTGAATGAGGAGTGGTCTTACATACATGCCATAGCTAGCATGGTCTGTGAACGGGTTTAATCTGGGTGCACTTTGTTCGGTTCCAAAGAACGAACCCTAGCACGCATTGCGTGTGGTACTTTTATTTCACCACCAGTACTTCTTAGAAATGGATGTTACTGAGGTCTTTTTGGTTAATATAAATTTACTGCGGCCACCATATAAATGAGTGCATACAAATGCTAAACAGTCAATCTGGCAACCATGCTTTTCGTTCGCTGATGGAAAGCTTTGAGTCATCTAGTTTGTGGCCGAGGTAATTTCGTCGGTACAAGTCAGGTCTATTGACGTACATTCACCTCCTGCCATGCAAATTTCAAATCCAATCTCAACCAATCAGGCCCAAATTACCTCCCGAAATCCTTCACACATGGCTTGCCTACCCCGGAGTTTTAAAGGTCTACTCATTTTTCGGATGCCTTATTGGGTCGGGGGTTCGAAGCCCATCCCCTCGGCCACTTCATGCAAGACCTAACACTACTACTTCTATCACTAATGCATTACTTCAACCTTTCGCCTAAGGGGTCATTGCAATCGCCATCACGGAAAATTTTCCATCAAATTTCCTTCTACTTGATGTAAACCACTTTGGAGGGTAGTGTCTGTGTTCAATTGCCTCCTCCCAACCCCTAGTGGGACCAGTAGACAGGATAAGGATTAATTTTGCATGAGGGAGAAATTGCGCAGACTTCTGACTACCAAACGGAGATTGAAAGATGGAGTGAATCAGCCCAACCCATCAGACAGACACACCCTCTTTCTCATTAAACATCTGTCGTACATTCGCAAATTCCCGTATCCAATCTCCTAGTATGGACTCGGCATCCAATCTCGCCGTACGTCCGACCGACGTAAAACATCTAATTTCCCCACCACAAGCTGTTAACATTTTCCATGGTCGCCGTACGTAATTTGTGATTCTTACTTCACCAGGTTTAACAATGTAGCCAGTTTGATGCACCAGTGCATTAATCATTCAGAGCTATAAATTCACATGCCATCATGGTCTGTGGGGAAATCGCCCAGCTTTATCACCTGTGCAAAATATTCATAACTATAACAGCCCCAAAATATTACCTTAATTCTAATGTCGGAACAACTCAAGCACAACTAAAAGGTGCAATTTTTTAAATTTCTACCAATTTTTTAAAAATTTCTACCACTTTCCAATAAAATCCACCCTAAAATTTCTCATCATAGCTGCTTCTTTTTTTATGACAATTTGATTTTTCAAATAATATGCCGAATATTACAACCTTGTATGTAACAGTAGTTAACCAATCGTAAATGTCTAATTTCTAGCGGCGATGATTTTGACGGAATGGTCTCAGCCGGGGGATATTGCATGTAAGAACACGATTAGGCCATGTCAGTCTAGCGGAAAAGTTATGCATGAATTTCTCCCTGGAAAAGACACTTGAAGGTCAAAACAAAGTAGTCAACAATTGTTGTTTTTTTTTCGATTAGCTAACATGGCTACAAGCACCGTACCGTATTCATGTAAATAGCATAACAATTTTTACTGTGGTGACGCTAGCACTACTAAAACTTGGGACAATATTTTTGGTTATAGCAGAGTGAAGTTTTTTATCATGACTTCTCTTCTGTATTTTCAAGCCTTTAAAAATGCAATTTCCCAAATTTTGAGAGGCAAATCATGGAGTTAAGAGTGGTTGTTGTGGTCCTTTGAATGTTTTTATATTTTTACCCAAATTTTGGTAAATTTTGTCACTCAAGGTTGACGGCTTGGTGCATGCCACAAAGTTTCCGCAATTGACGGAAAAACGGGTGCTGGCTATAGCCCTGTTCTACACAAAACACAACAATAGGACACATGAGTTTTCTTTTACACAACCAATTCTCTCACCTAAAGTGCTGACGTTTCAGTGTCTCTCAGAGCTTCTGACTTGAGTTCTGTGTAAAAGAAAACTCCTGTATCCTATACTTAATTAACAATTTTCAGAAGAAGACAAAGATGTTGTGGTTACCTGTGAGACTTTGGTGACCACGTCTCGTCCGACCTGCAATCCCTGCACGAACGTCCTGGCCGCGATAAACGCCCTCTTCACCTGTATGGACAGCTTACGCGGCACGTCTCCGAAGGGCTTCAGCTCCTCCATGTTCAGACTCACGCACTCCAAATACTGCTCGTCAAACGTGTACGAGGCATTGAGAAGCTGGAACATCTTTTGCAAGAGCTTGGCGAAGAAGTCGTCCAAGACCTCCAGGAGGTCCAGGTTTGCTCCGCTGTAGTACGCCTTGAGCTCGGCGAACAAGTCTGTAAATACTTCTGAGTTCTGCTCGTATAGCACTCCGTACGTGCGCACGAACATTTGGTGTAAGCTTGCTTCTGCATTGTCCAGCAATTCTTGGAAAAATGCTGGAAGGAAAAAAAACAAGAGGAAAGCTTGGTGTAAGTTTTGTGGTCACACTTCAACAGTTGTCTAATTTTTTAACACAGAGTGTTTAACATGAAAAAATTTACCTAGAGATATGCCCTAACCAACTCAATGTAAAGTCAGTGTACTAAAGGTCAAAGATAGTTCAGTTCTTTGCCCATATATGAAAAATTGCCTTTCGTCTAATCACACTAGAGATTATCGACATATTACAGGTATGTCTATAGATGTATGATTTATCAAATTCAGCAATATCTGTGGGCGAATCTAAAGTTTGTGAGAAAAATTCTTTGATTTAGTAATACCTGTGGGCATCTACTTGAGACAATCATCTTGAAAAATATCATATAAATTTGCCATATCTTGCGCTTGATGAATAGCACAAACGTGGTCGTATTCAATAAAAAGCGGCGTTATCTCTCTATGGTGCATTGGCCACGTTGCAGCGATACTTTTCAATTTTCGCTAAAGGTTACATTAAGGATAGAACAGCCCTCCAGGCACTTGTTTCAAGTATTGAATTGTCAGCAAGTGCGGAGACAAATGTGCCCTCCCGTCCCCAAGTATAAATCACAGGGAGTTACAGGATGGCTTTTTATTACCTCACCTCCCAAAGGGAGCGAGATTGGACGTCGCTGTACCAAAATGTCATCTGTGTTTATGGGATTTCCGTAATGTTTCGGGTGCGCTCGCGAAATGTGGAACAGCGGGGGGTTATTGCGTACGCGGAGCCCGTGCTATGAGGGTACAAACGGTGTACATATCTTGTCTCCACAGGTGAGAGATGGTAATCTGCCTGAAGCTACCCCATGCGGGAAGTGTAAAAGCAGATCCAAACATGGAAATCCGGGCGCACGCCCACCCACTGTGCATACAACGCACAGAAGTCATCCCTCTCTACACTTCATTCATTATTCAGTTAGGACCAAGGTAGCCAGCAAAAAAAATTACACCTATTCCCGAATTAAGTACATGCTCTTTAAGTGTTGTGTAGACATCCTTGACCGAGATTTTATAGATAGTTTCGTGGTGTGTATTTTGAATGCGTCACATTCTGGGCAGATTTTTCAGCTCAGGAATATCAACAGATCTAAACCCGCCTCGTTGTGGACAAAATAAAGGGGAATTCCAATATGGAGCACAATAAATCAGCATATACAGCCTCTTGTTTTGATGTTATTTTTCAGCCGATTCCAATCTTGTTGGCATTAAAAAACGTAACAATTTCAAGCCTCAATTTCTATTCTCATCTGCAGGGCGAGCAATAAAGTAATAAATCATTCATAACATTACATCACTGCGTGCTAACAACATTACCGCATCTAATACCCTTTATTACCCCCACATCGTAATAAGTCTGGGGACTCGCATGTTACAGGTAAAGAGCAACAGACAAAATTCCTGGGGGAGAATTTCCAAATGTCATTTGTACAGCAATAGATTTTGGGGGTTGTCTGGTCTCCCGAATAAATTAGCCGGGCGCCTAGCTTCCAGAAAATCAGGTGATGACCGAATCAACAAGGTGTGACAGAGTTGCGTGTTTCGTTGTCAGCGGGTAATCTGGCTTGTGTCCCTGATGTCACTATAAAGACCCTTCAAGAATTTTCTCCACAATGTTTACACACCATCCAAGAATTCCCTGCCCTCCCGCCCTAGGAAATATCTATCCTCTATACTGACAGGTGCGATCTGTTCTGTTAGGATGTTTATTTCTTGGCAATATTTGAGGACTGGGTGTTCGGAAGGAAGGTTATAAGATCCCCGGTGCGTCTTCAGCCTTGGAAATCCGGCTGGGATCGGGACGCGGTTCGCTCGGCCGAAATCCTACCCGTAACCGGAGCCTGCGTATAAACAGGGGGCTGAATTCCTTCCTCTCCATTACCCCCGGTCGAGAAAGAGGTCCCCTGAACTGCGTCTTTACCAAACAATGGGCACTAGAAACATCCTTTGATACACCCTGCTTCTGAGGCACCGATCCTAACCCTTTCACACAAAGGCAGGAACTATCGCTTACCCACAGGACAACTTGGCGGAACACGGTCCCTCAAAAAAACAGGTCACACTTTGCCAAGCCCTAATGGACTTTGGGGGCAAAATTTCTAAACTCCCGGGGAACAAGGGACCACTTATCTTTTGTAAGCCATTTAAG